ATATCAATCAGTGAGGAAACAAAATGTATTTGAGGTTCATGAATAAACATGCAAACAAAACCCGATACGCGATAATGCTAAACATCAACAAGAGCACCAACAAACAAAAATGTCATTTGCTCCTCTTAGCCCGTACACGCACGCAAGCACACACACACACACACACACACACACACACACACACACACACACACACACACACACACACACACACAACGGCAAACAAAGAAATCTCGATTCCGGAGCAATCAGCAGATCGTTACATGTTTGGCGAGTAAGTGAGGCGGGATTTCCAAGCCTTCCGGCTCAGCAAACTCCTTTTTAGAATAATGGTTTCCACGTGCTTGGATGCTTAAGAAGTTGCATGACGATGTGGAGGTTGTGGGCGCTTCCTCTGATGTTGCGAGGTGGACTTTTAGGTTAACTTATGTGTGGGAAGTGTTTGTATTGGATATGAGATTTTTGATAAGGTGTAAAGTTGGTGACAGGATGTGTGCGAAAGGATTTGTTTTCTCTATAAAAAAATAGTATAGATATTTGCGTTGTTGCTATAATTCTAAAGGATGAAACGCGGTTTTAAAAATATGTTTTGAGTTTTTTAACTGACACTATATTACATTCCATCCGTTTTTCGGTTTATACCATCGGGGAAGAAAGTCCTATCCTTCAACCGATTTGCTTTTATCAAGCAAATGACAGAGGAGCAAAGTGAATGCAGACAAATGTGTTGTAATATCTCGAATACCGGTTATCAGTCTCGTATTATGAAGGTAATACAAATCAAAATGATAATGAATTTCCACCCTTTTTTATCGCCCTGCTTGATATCTCGCAAGCACAGCTACGCTCAGTGCTTGCAGGGAGGGTCGGGCTTCGCAACCAGTCCCGCGGGCGGCTAATGGCGGGCGCAGCTGCCTGCCGGCGTCGACGGCTCGGCATTCGGCCGTGCATGCGGAGGGACCTCGTGGGCGACGAGCTCTTCGCGTGCAGATGGCATTTAGGAGATGTTTTCTGTTCCAGGTTGTGATTTGCTGGGCTGGGCTGCTGAGAAGGGGTTTACGTTCGACGAATCCCGTTTTGCTTATTTTATATTCTCTTCTTTCCGTTCATCTTGCTGTTTCTCATTTATTTTCTCTCTCCCTACCTTCCTTCCTCTCTCTCTCCCTCTCTCTCTCTCTCTCTCTCTCTCTCTCTCTCTCTCTCTCTCTCTCTCTCTCTCTCTCTCTATCTATCTATCTATCTATCTCCCTCTCTCTCTCTCCACCTCCACTATTAAACTGTGACTGAAACAAAGACTCTTTTTCTGCGCGCGAAATCTTTTGTGTTGCATTCGCCTTTTCCTCGCCTTTTATCTTTCGGAAATATAACTGGATATAATAATTTTTTTTTATCTCATTTAACCTGACCGATAAAAACCATCCTGAAAAAGATAACAGACGAATGAACGCACGACTCAAAATACATTGACCTCCGAGCCTAAACTTATAATAATAGATGTTGAAAAGGTCATTTGTTGAAGAATATTGCTGAGTTCACCGGGAGGAGGGCACGGCTGACCCCCTAGAAGATAGATCTTAGTCCGGTTGGTTTGAATGTTCAAAATGGCGGAATAAAGAAGGACGTTGGTCTTGGCCGAAGACACGTCGCTCGCTGCGCTCTTCGCTACTCGTTTTTTCTTCTTCTTCGTCCCCTTGTTTTTTGTTTTTGTTTTATTGCTGTTCTTTTGTTACTCCTTAGGCTTCCTTTTCTTCTTTCTTTCTTCTCTCTTCTCTTTCTTTTTCTTTCTTCTTTTTTTCTTCTTCCTCCTCCTCTGCCTCCTCCTTCTGGTCTTCCTCTTCTTGAAATCCACCTTCTTGCATTTCTTTCGGTTCCTCCTCTTCTTCTTCGTCTACGTGTTTTACACCAATGACTTCATTTCCCTCTTTTCCTATGACTGTAAATGTAAGAAAGCAACAATAGCTTCAAGGGTGAATTCGACAGTCCTTTGTTTTGGCAATGCGCCTCTTGTGCGCTTGGAAATTTCCAGGCAAGCACGCACCCGTTCGTGTTTAACAAAACATAGGCATACAAACACGCAAGCACTTCTTTTGACTGTGAGTTTTGGCGGTAGAGGAATAATGTGAAGAGAATGAAAATTATTCTGCTATCGCTTCCTGATTTTTCTGTTTCTGTTTTCTGTTTTTTTCTGTTTTTTGCTTTCCTATCTTTACATACGAATCTACGCGCGTACTGAGAAAACGCATGATTGATAACACACAATTCCGCAATGAAAAACTGTAATTGAAGAATTAAATTAGGAAAATAAAATTGAAGATATAAAAGGTACCGTAATTTGGTGTCATTTATTCTTGTTGTCTTTTCAATGTGTCACAGTGAACTTTGTTAGTCTACACGCGTCTCGAATGTCATTTGCGGAATCGGTACAGGAATCGAGACAAATTTTATGATCATTGTTATTATCATTGTAATTGTTGTTCTTGGTATTATCATTATTGTTTTT